GAGTACGACCTAGCTCGCTTCGTCGGAAACCCCGACGCTCGACCGCAGTCACCACTGACGGGACCGACCTCACCGTCGAACGCCGAATTCAGACTCCAAAGTCTCGAAGTCCAGACAGGCAGCCAATCCACGACTGGGGCCCGATTTCAGCAACATAGCTCGCACCACAGCCGCCGGCCGAACTCACTGCCACACTGCCGGCGGCCGAACTCACTGCCACACTGCCGGCGGCCGAACTCGCTACCTCGTCAGACACCGAGCTTGCACGATAGCCGCCGGCCGAACTCATTGCCACACCGCCGGCTGCCGAACTCGCAACCTCAATCGATGGTCGACCTCAACACAAAGTCGTCGGGTCGACCTCGCAACCGCCGGGCTAACCTCGTTAGCCGGTTGCACCGCCGGTGCCGACCTCACAACAATCGGCTAACACGACCTCGTCACCCTCAAACATCAGTCGAGATCTGACCTCAACCCCGTCATCCCCAAACCTCAGCTGGGGCCCGATCTCAACTCTCATCACCAATCACGCACCTCCAAAAACTGCTAGACCCAATTTTGCAGTCCTCGAGTTCAGAAGCCGAGCCGCTGACCCTGCTCAATCGACGCCGAACCGCTGCCGTCGCCCTCAGATTTCGATGTCGAGCTCGACCTCGCCAACCCACTGCTGCTGTCCTCGAGTTCAGAAGTCGAGCCGCTGCCATCCTAGGATCTAGATGCCGACCTAGCCGCGACCATCTTCAGATCCAGAAGCCGAAATGCCGTAGCCGTCGGGAAGCGAAATCCACCCTAAAACCCGGACGTCGAGGCGCGCAAAAGCCGAACAGATTTTTGCAGATGGCGAAGGAAAGAAAATTGAGATCGTGCCCGTGAAACATATGGATGTGTTATTCAACGGGGACTGTGGGGTGTATATTGAGTGGCATGCAAAATTGGGCCCGCACTTAAAACCGACCCAAGGTAAACCCAATTCTCTAATCTTCTTAAAGCTATGTATATCTATGTAGAATATGATATGTCAACGTATCTGCATAATAATAATAGATACTAATAATAACAAGAAGTAATAAATAATATATGCGTAATATATACATACAATTAATATGCATATGTCTGTACTACACATATGTACTGCACAATATATATATGTACTGCATGTGTACTATGCAATTAATTAATAAGCGATAATTATTATAATTTTCAATAACCACATGTGAATAAAAATATATACCGAATCTTATTTCGTGAAAATCGAGTCGAGACGGAAAGGATTGGGGGAAGTTGGTCTACTGCAAGCCTTCGGGATAGGCATGGCCGTTCCTCTAACACCTCAGTCTCGGAAAGTCACGAGACCTTCAAGCCGTAAAGTTGTTATTTCGCCCGCTGTTGAGCCCTCGCTCCGGCCGGGTCGACGTTTCATCCAGTCCGGCGACGAGCCCCTGCTCTGTCGGGCTGACGTCGTTACTTCGCCCGCCGTTGAGCCCACGCTCCGGCCAGGTCGACGTTTCCATCCAGTCCGGCGACGAGCCCCTGCTCTGCC